ATTATTTCACGAGTGGGCCTCAATAGGTCAGCCTTTTTAAATAGAAATGTGACAGTGTTCTTAAGCATTATTACGGATTTCTAATCAATTGAAATTCAACAAGTTATTTATTTAAAAAAAAAAAGCAATTTACTTGAAATAAATATTTTTTTTTAATTTTCTTTTTATCATTAAAAAAATCATTGCATATTTTTGCAGTTTGGGTGAAATTCGCAACAACTTATTCTTTATGTAATTGATAGAATTTAAAAATAAAGATGCTTGCTTATTTCTATATAAACGTTCTCATGTCATCGCTTTATCAAATGATTCAAAATCAAATGACTTGCAATTGCACAAAATTAAAAACGTCACCTTACTACACAGTAACTGAGTAACACTAAGACTTTTAAGTTTTAACAAAATGAATAACCATTTATTTATTTTATAATTATTAAATTTTGAAACCCACCTCAAAAAGAAGCAAAAGAAATGTACATGTACTGAAACTACTAAAAGTTAATTAAAATAATTATTGAAGATTGAAGGCTGAATTTTTGGGGGGTTTTCTTAAGAATCAATTTTTTACGAAGACAGATTCCTTTTTTAAAAAAAAACAACAAAAACACAATCCTTACTACACGCCACACTTTTTAGTTTAATTAATCAATTATCGTTTTCCGCCTTTTTAATTTTCTGCCCAATAAACACCATTGTTACCTTTTTTTACTAGCCTGGGAAAATGATAAGTCAAGTCAAACTTCAACAAATAAAAGTAAAAAACTTAGTGTATCGTGCTCGTCAATGGGTAGGGTATCGGCTAATTAATTTTGATTAATTTATATTGGTAATATTTTCTGATATTTCAATGGCGATATCATGATATTTTTATTTGAAGTGTGGGCTTCATAAATAATCCACTTTTTTTTAAGAGCCTGTTAGTATTTTATTCAGTTTCCCATTAATTTTTTCACCTCCAATCTTCAGCAGACTTTTTATTTAGTTAGTTTTTTTTTTTGTGAATCTATAATTTTTAATTTTACAATTGACGGGCCAGACCTTTGATTTCTGTTTTATTTTATTTTATTTTTTTTTTGTCTATATACATTCTGTTGGTTTGGTTTAGAAATGTTTATGTAAGCTGAAGCATCGTTCTGAAATATACGAACGAACCAGTTGATCGCATAAGAGGGGAGCGAAAAAAAAAAAAATGAGGAAGCGAGGTATTTTTGAAGATGGTGGCCGCAGTCATCATCAACTTTTGGGGGGGGGGTGAGGCGGAAAAGACGGCCGCCTTTATTTCTTATTATAACCCCCACTCCCCTTTTAACATCATCCTGAATATCATTTCTTTGTCGGCTTCCCCGGTTAGAAAAGAAGCCCCACAAACAAAAAATGATTAAAAAATATAAAATAAAAACCGCGGTAATAAATAAAATTTAAAAATCTATGCACGACTATTTTTACAGTTAAATTTATATTGTTATTGTATAAACTTTCTTTTCATCTTATTTCTAAGAGATGCATTGCTATGTCGTTTTAGCAGAGAAAATAAATCCGATTGTGAATGTATTGATTGATTGATTGATAAACCGAAACGTGTAGTTACCATCCATCATTCCATTGTATTACGTCCCTTTACCAACAGTGGCAGACAAATACGACGACGAAGAAGAAGCCAGATTTTATTATTTTATGCGAGAATATGTGATGAAAAAAAAAAAAATTTAATGATTGAAATTGATAATCTATCGTTTAATGTAAAACTACATTATCAAATTCAAATAAAATCTTACTTAGTTTTATGACAGTAGTTGACTGTTGAGTAACTAATTGATGAAATTGAAAAAGTACACTCTACTTCTCATTGTTTACAAAGAAAATAAATTTAAATACCTATTAAAATTTAAAAACGTAATTCATAGTGACATCTAAAAATGACATACTAACTAAATAAATTTTAAATAGTCACTTACTTTTTTAGTAACTCTAACTAGTTCAGTGTTTTGGCCAATTTTGCAAAGTGCTTGCTACAAGTTTTTTTTAATTTTAGATTTTAAAAAGGATTTTTAAAAATATTTAATTTCAATTTTTCTTTGAAACAACATTGCACATTCTTGCTTTTAGTATTAAAACTGACATGCAGTCACTTTTTATCGTTATTTTGATTTTACAAGTAAATGGTCGGCTGCTGCTGTCTGTACTCCAATTTTTTTTCTTTGGTTTGAAACATAATTTTTTCTCTACTTTGTACTGACTGAGCAACACTAGTAAATCGCCGATAACACTTTTTAGATCAGCTATATTTATTTTATAATCATCATCTGCTTTGGTGCATGACAGATCCACAAACTATATAATCATTCATTTGAATTGTGAATGAAAAACTTCCGGCTTGCCTAACCCCACCGAAATAAAAACAGAGTACGTACAAAAAATAACACAGTGATCCATTTACCTTTTTTTCTATGGTAATTTATATAAACAAATAACTGATTGCTAGTTTGTTTTTTTAGAAAGTTTATTAACCAAACGTGGCTTCTTTTTTTTCCTGAAGAATTTGGTGGAAGTAGAATTTCAATTTTGACCCTGTCTTCTTTGAGCGTTGCGTTCAAAAGATCGAGTCAACAACCATGTTGAAGAAAGCATGAACCACAACATTCATCCTTTTTTCCCCTCAGTGCATCGATATCTGTATGGGTCGTATTGCGTTCGTTAACAATTGTTACAAAAATGGACAAGAAGGCATCATCTATTCATCGTTTTCTTTTTGACTTGCGAATATGAGAAATGTCGACTAACTGCCTTTTTTGAGTCGACTACTTTTTAAGTTAAATGAATGCATAAGCCACTAAAAAAAATTAAAAATATTGTTCAGGGATATTTTAAAAAATGTCTTTGTGTAACTGTTATATTTATTCGTTTTGTTTTTGTTTTTTCAATATTTGGCAACATCGTTTTCCATAAGTAAAAGTTGGATTATTGTTGAAATAAATTAAAATAAAATGTGCTTTAAAAATAAATTCTAGAAAGATTGTCCCCCTTCGTATCTATGGTAAAAAGAAAGATAAAATTGTCACGTGACTAAAACACGCTTTTTTTCACCATAATATAGATTTTCTAAAACGAATTTGCAATGATTTAATTAAAAAAGGCGATTTTAATTTAAAGTATATTTTCACTACGATTTATTTATTAGTTTAAAAAATGTTTATCGGCAAATAAATGCCTGAAGCATGAAAAAAAAAAAAACGAACTGATACGCTTTTTTTGTTGTTTTTACAATAAAAAAGTACTTTATGAATATGAAAAAGTGTCAATTCATTCTCAAAATATGAGGTACAGCAAAAAAAAAAAACAAACAAACAAAAAGTACCTCTGCTCGATTTATTGCAGTGTTTGTTAATGAACCCACTGCTGCTATTTCTACTGCATTTTGAGGCGAGCAGCCTCAACTGCGGAGCCTACTGTAGCAGCAGTAGAAGTAGGAACCGTGGAGAAATGCCGCTCGTCAAGTCAACTGCCTGAACAAACCAACTTGTCGCTCCCCGATTCGCTTTTATCTTTTTTTTTTTTTTTATTTTCGGAGTCCATCATGAAATAACCTTCCTTGCAAATGTACTTTGAAATACAGTGTCAAAGCGGACATCATGGGCTGATTGACTTATGATAATATTTCCTCCTCATCTACAGGTGTTACCACTGTGAAATTGAAACTACTTGGACTGAAAAAAAAATCGTTGGGAACATTTACTATTTTAGTGCTGGTCACTATTTTAGTCGAGTTTTAATTTTACTTATTACAAACAGCAAAAAACACATCGAAAGTTTTTTTTTATTTACTAATAATCTTATTCTTAACAACCCACTATACGACTGTAGCAATTTTGAATTTTAATTGAATCAACCTGTACCACTTACTACCACCTCAGCACGTATAAATTTCACCACACCACACAGTCGATCGTTAAGAAATAAGATTTGCTTTTATAATTATATTAATTATTTTTAAATGCTTTAATTAAGGTTTTTAAAGCCAAAATCTCTGGGTTTAAGACTGTTGCTTGCTTGTTTCTTTCTCCTGTGACAACGTTCAAGATTACATTATGAATTGAAAATTCATTGGAGATGTTTTTCTAGCTATGTCGCCGATTTTTACGATCATGGTCAAATAGACACATTGTCTACGGCCTAGGCGCCCAAAACAAAACAACAAAAAACAAAAACACACCTCGCCTATCATTTTTACACCTGTCGCTGGACATCTTTTGTTCACCTAAAAAGCATTTCTGGTTAAAACCTGATTCCTCAAATTTATCATTGTGATTAACAAGCACAGAAACACTACACACCGTTCGAACCTCCTTATCACAATCGATTTACTACAACTAGTACTTACTTCATTCTCTATTTATACTTACCTTCAATCATTCAGTGGTCGTTAATCTTATCAACCAAAAAATTATAATACAAGAATATAGTAAGATTTCTAGTCCCATCGTTGTCTTTGTTAGTAACAAGTGGGTAACTACTACTTGTTAATAATTACTTATATAATTTACAACTAACTAGTTTAGTTACATTGACTTAAATGACTGCTGTCAATTACATTTTTTGCATACAACACTAGTCTACTAAAAGCACATGCTATATAGCACAGCACGCTATTACACAATGTTACTGTTAAACACCCACGTTCAAACAATAATTTAATTTATTAATTCTTTACTACTGCTGTATTTTATTTATTTATTTTCTGAAACCTTTCTAATTATTATTGACCCTACTGATTTTTTTTTTTTTTTAACCGTGGACCCAAGGATCCTAATCTCTGACAACATCGTCGCAATTAATTCTCTTACTGGTCGAAGACGGATTTTTACCAGTTCATAATTTAGCACTGAAAAGTTTTTAAAAAAAAAACAAACGTTTTATTTCCATGTTGTGCCCATTCAATCGATTGTTTTTTTTACCACAATTACCGCTTTAATTAAAAAAACTACACCAACCAAACCAATACGATGGACTTACCACCTCAACAAGGGTGAGATTTGTTTTTATTTATTATTTTAAATAACAAAATCAAATAAATTATTTTTAAAATTGTTGACATCTTTTCAACATTTGTTAACTAACTTAAATATCCATTATTACCTGCGATTTTCATCATTTGAGTTAACTTGAAGACTTTTTGGCTAACAGCAAAAAAAGTCTATCGAAATGTCTCATCATAATTATTCAAGGAGGCAATTTGGAATAAGTCCTACTCCTATTTTAATTACTACTATGATTGTTTTACTTTTTTAACTAAATCTTGGATACTATGCTCGATTTCTACTCAAGGGGACAGGTCAAAGGTTACTTTTAAGTTGTTTTATTATTTTCATGTCAAAGCAGAACAATTTTTTTTTCACCCTAGTGAACATTAAAAAAAAAATGTTAGTAAATTGTAACTGTAATCGTGAGATTATAAAAACTGGGGGGGTATTCATGTGAAAAACAGTTCTTTTGTCACTTTGAAATTGAAATCAGTTTTTAACTGAATTAGGAAGTAGATTATTACTTATACTTTTATGCATTTTCAATTTAATTAAAGAGATTATTAATTTTTTATGATTTTATAAATTATCTGTCTGTTTGAACCACCTGTCGTCAGTCTGAAATCATTTGATAGCAGCACCAGCATTTTATTGGGAAAATCGTGGCTCAGTTTTTGTTGAGCGAACGATCTCAACAAATAGTCAAATTTGACTTTTATTGTACTCTTCTATTATTAGTAGGTGTGTGTATGTTTGGATTTTCCAACCGGAATCTAGTATCTTGATAACATTCTTTTTATTGTTTAGGTGTTTAAGATAATAATTATTATCTTTTGTAAAAGGGATTATGTTCTTGTTGAGCCTTGCGATCCATTCATTGTATGATTTGTATGCTTCTACGCCTTATTCTGTCTATTGTCATTCAAACATTCCTCCTACTACTTACAAATCTAGTAGCACTCGGTTCATTGGCACAGGACTGTTTTTTTTTTTGTATGCTCTTCCCGATATCCATTTTCAAATTTATTTTATTTTTAGGCAACATTTATCAAGTAGCATCCAAAAACAAATATTCACATTTTTTTTTATTTTGTATGAACAGGAAAAATGATACTTAAGTAGGTGAGGTGTGTGTGTGTTTTTTTTTTTTTAAGCTTCGGCCATGTGACCGTTATTGTTCATCGTCCTGTTGAGAAAATGGAATACCAGTTTTTATTTTCTAAAATTAGTATTTATTTACATATTCTTAGTGAGTTTCATCACTATTCTGAGATTGAGGAAATTGGGAAAGAAAAAAATGAAGAAAACTAAACATCACACAGCATTGTCCCTCTCATTGGGTTTTTGTTTTCTTCTCTAAGATATGCATTTTTTTAACAGGCACTGACTCTTTCTTTAATATTTAACAAGTAGGGTTTTTCTTTAAAGACATCAAATCTAAATATGCACCCAATTAATTTAATGAATCATAATTTACACTTTAATAATTTCAGTCTTTAGTAACGTCAACTATTCATTTTACACTTTGCAGCAAAGAAGAAAGTGTAGGTGGCTGAAGAAAGAAAACGTTTTTTTTTTTTGTTTTTTTTTTTTATTTTCTTAAGACGTATTTCTTGAAATATTTTCCTGTTGCTCAAAGAAAGGGTAAAAGACTTATTTAGGGTTTGTTTTTTTTTTTTTTTTTTTTTTTTTTTTTTTAAATGATTTCTCTTCGAAAGTCATTTAGTTTCGTATCTCAAAAATTTCTTTCATTACAACAAAAAAGGTCAGGTTTTTGTAAGGAAGGGGGGGGAATCGCCCTGATCATTCGTATGGGGGGGTAAATTTTAAAACAAGATTAGTCACGTGATCTAACTTCCCATGTTTAATGACGATAAGTTTTACCTTGTTTTAGAAAATAAACGGAGTTTTCCTCTTACACACTTCTCTCGAGTATAATTTTATGCAGGAAAGTTCGTTATTGTGCAGTAATTTATTTTAACAAAAAAACATTGTTGAAATAAACAATTTCGATGATTATGGAGAGAGGGTAACTAACATCAGGTTTCTCACTTTTTTAGTCATTTTAAATTTTTAATTGTTGCTCGGAGTTTTGAGAACTCTTATTCATTTAATATTTTTTTATCATGACAATCAATGATTCCTGTTTTTTGTCGTTTTAAATAAAAAATAAAACCAAATTAAAAACAACCCTTTAAAATTTTTCACTGATGTGAGCAATCTTGTTTTAAACTGGTTTAAAAATATGCTTCAACCTTAGAACATGAAATAGTGCTTTATTGCAACAAGCTGTCATTTAAAAAAAAAAAGAAAGCCTAATCGACTTTTTTTCTGAAAAAGTGGTTTTGTCCATAAGTTCCTAATAGATTTTTTTTAAAATCATTGTTAAAATGTTAAGTAATCTCTTTAATATTTCAACAGTTAAGAAATGTCTATTTTTTTTTATTTGTTCTGGTAATTGTTTCTTCAGCATTTTTAGCAAAAAGCCTAAACATTTTAAAAAGAAGTTGCCGCGTTAAATTGGATCTTTTTTTTTCTCTCCTCGAATTGCCAGTTCCACGAAAACTGACACACGTTGTTCAGCAACTTTCGTACATCCACCCACACATTAATAATTACCCTGTTCTCTATTAAAAATAATAATAGTGTAATAAAATGACTTACCTTAATCAATTTGACTTAAATGATAAGTAACTTTCACATTTTAAAAAATTTTTTTTTTTTTTATTTCATTAGTGATTCGTGGATAAGTAATTTGTTTTAAACCACTTTTCATTTATTAAATTACATAAATGAAATTATTCAAATTACTGTCGTTTGTCAATTGTTTGGAAGTGAAGTTAAAAGTAAAACATACCTCACCCACTTTTTTTACATAGTGCTATCTCAAGGTCGTTTGGGCCTTAATTACATAGTAGTAGTAATAAGCCGTTTAAAAGTTCATTGATGCTTTTTGCTTTGCTTAGTTAGTAAAAGAAATGTTTAATAAATAACTTTTTATGCGTCCTGATTATTTTTTATTTTAAGATTTTTATCCTAAGATAAAAAGAAGTGTTGTGTTATGTTATTGTTACTAGTTTTTTTTTATTCTCTGTAGTAAAATTATGCATGCAATGCATTGTTGCTTTTATTCATTATTATTATTATATATCCACACTTGTGCGATTTTTCTTTCAAATTTCAACTCAACTACTGCACACAAGTTTTATCAAATTATCACGTCAGGAAGTAATTAATAATTGTACAAATAATAATCAAGCAAGCATATCTTTGCTAGCCTATCTTCCGTAATTTTATAATTGATATAACTCCCGTGCTACGCCTTTATATTTATTTATTTTTTTCTTTCCTGTCTCTCTCCTTCAATATAGTCACTTAGTCCCTTTGGCTGCAGTTTTTTTTTTTTTTTTTTTTATGAAAAAAACTTGTACACTCTAACTTGCTGCTGATGAGCCAGCCAAAGACAGATTAGATGCAGAAGTTTTTTTTTGAGGTTAGATATAGTCTCTTTAAAAAAAAAAAAAAGTGTTAGAAATTGTGTGGGTACGTTAGTTTTTTTTTACACCTATGTGTATTTGCATAGTATTATCTACTAAATAAGTAGTAGTACAAATGCTGTCTTTGAGACGCCAGTTGAGTTACTGACCTGCTTGTCAGATTTAAATACACACATGCACGTGTAAAACAGAATATATTATTAACCGACCCTGTATGCTACTTTAGAGAAGTTCTACCTTGGCATTTGTTCGCATTTCTTCACTCATGTTTTTCCTCCTCTAAATCAGCAGTCAGCCATTCATGCTTCCATTCATCCATCAGCAGCTGATGACGTAACTTTGATGAGAGATGAGAAAAAGGAGCTCTGCTATAACCCTTCTCGTCTCTACCCAGGCCCCTTCATTTGCTTGTTGCATTATTTCTGATATTTTTTTATCCTTTTTAACTGTCGTCTTATCGCTTGGAAGCCCCAAAGCCTAAACACCAAACGAAAGTCACTAAAAGCAGAATAGTAAAAGAAATTGACTTCACCTTAAAGATTCGTAATGACAATTTCATTGAATACCACTGCAATGGAAGGTTACCTAGACCCTCCTCAACTCGACTGTCAATTTTCTGCTGCTATATTTTGTTGAATGTCCTTCCTTCACTTACTTCCCCACCCAGAACATTCATCGCATTTCAAAGCTCTTGTTGAATATTTGTAACAAAATATTTCGATGAAATAATTGAAATAGCTTGCATTCAATCTTTTGGGTGTCACCCCCCCCTTACCAAAGAAAAGTGTCATTAATAGGGTGAAATGTCTCCTTTTGTAGTTATGCTCAATTTTCTTACCCCCCTCTCCCCCCAAGAATCTAGCTGTTTAATTAGCATACTACATTTATTTTTAGATCATTCACTACTCTCCTTATTCATTCTTTTTCACTTGTTTATGATTTTGTCCAAACATACCACTTTTGACCAAATCAATTTGATATTCTGCCAAACATTTTAAATTCGATAAATAAATATTGAATCTGCAAAAAAAAAAAAATTATTAAACTTTGGATTTTTACTCTTTTTTTTTTTTTTTTTTTTTTTTTTTTCTTTCCTATTAACAGAGCTACATTTTCAGAAATATCAATTGCATTGCAAATTTTCCTTTTTGGAACCAACTTAAAAAAAACAATAACTTATAGCAGTAACTTCAGAAGTAATTTGAAAATAACATCTCCCACTTTCCAGAAAGAGTTGGTTTCATTTTTCATAAATGCTATATTTAGAATGAGACATGTTTTTAAAATATCTTATTTGTTACAAGCCAAGTTTAGATTTTCTTAGGGTGCAATATTGTTTTTGTCTGGTTTCTCATTTTGTCATTTCTAGAAAGTTTGGTTTTTAAATCTTGAATTATTTTTTTTCTTCATCATAGAATCACAATTGTTTCATACATATTTGCAAAATCTACATTTAACTTTTTAAATATAAATAATATAGAATTTCCTCTGCTAAAAATGCAATATTT